AATTATCACCCTCGGTTCATAAACCGAGATGCAGATGACACAGTCATGGGTGCTTAGTTCAGATCAAGCTACTCTCACAGAACAAAGCACTTTGCAGTGGGGGTACATCACCCCACCGAGCGGAGGCTTTGACAAACAAAGCCTCCCACCACTGGAGTCACTTTGCTTCTCCTTAGGCACTGTTCAGGTTGTGGCGTTCACAAATCATACAGCCAAGGTGATGTGGGAGAAGGCATTTCCCCATGATAAAGCATAATTTAACAGGCACGGCAGATTGTCCTTGGAAACATTATTGTCATTTTCATTTGTGTAAGTTCACAGTCATATATGAATAGTGTATTCGCTTAGGTACTTTCTAAGAAGACATCTATTTCTGTCCAAGAGATTTCTGTGTGTCCACATTCAATGATGCTTTCTGCCTCCTGCATTCAGTTCTGCTACTTGTTTATTTATAAGCAGGAGTACACTTTAATGTACTGCTTTAGAGAAAGCAGCCCAGGTGGCCACATCAGATGAGGCCACAGGCCAATGTCAGATGTTACTTGGGGGCAAAGAAAGAGCAGAGTGTGCAACTTCTGCCAGGGGGAAATATTAATCCCTTACATTTGCTGTACACTGATGTAGCTCTCCCTTTCAAAGTGAAAGTATTGCCAGGTTGTGATTTGTGGGTAAAGATACACTTTGAAAGTAAGTTCAAGGCTATGTAATAACTGCATGTCCTCGTGAAAGCCAGAGGGATATTTTGACCCCCCCACACACACAGTCATGAAACCACGATAACCAGCATTTCTATCAGCTTGGAAATTGATCACGTCCCTGTGTTGGAGCATCCCAACTCCTCTCTTCTGGCTATCTTGAAAGATGTAAGATTTTAGGCATTGTACTATATTGAAAGACAGCAGGATTTCATTTTCTTATCTCACTAGTTTTCCATCCATTATCCAACCTCCCGGTTCTGCCCAGCTACTGCCAAGACAACGTCTGGTAACTACTACTCCACTCACTGTTTCTGTGAGATCTGCTGGTTTTGAATGAGACCATGTGGTAGTTTCTGTGTCAATGCCAGACTTTTTTCACTTTCATAATATCCCTGCAGCTCCATCCATGCTTCTACAAAAAGTTCCTCCTTTTATGTCTGAATAATAGGCTGCTGTGTGCGCATAGATTCCTCATGAATTTCTGGAATTGGATGGTTTCAGGTTGGAAGCTATGGCAGGGAGTCTACCAGTGTTCCTGAAAGGTAGGAAGCGAACTAGTTTCTGAAAATCCACCTTCCGGAGTTCTTGCCCACGCTGACTTGCGCAGTGATAGCTCTGTAGGACGATACCCTTTCTTCACAGGTGCAGGGTTGAAGAGATTGCCAGCCCTTGTCTGGAGTGATCGGATCATGAGGGTCTGAGCTTCCCACTCCACCTGCCGCTTTCAGCCTATCCCGCTGGCGAGAGCAGCCTCCCACCTCTCCCGACAGTTAAATTCTTCTCCCCCACCAGACCCTTAAAAGACTCAGATGGCTGGGAGAGTTTTCTAACCTTCATTTCCAAGAATTTCAATGGGGTATTTTTAAAAATAGCTTTTTGACCATCTCAGAGAAGGCCTTGAGACCAGAAAAGATGGCTGCCGAGTGATTTAGGATGAGTTCCTCAGCAATCTAGTTCTTGAATTGTGTTTTTTGAAAGTTACTAAAGCATTGCTGGCTTAGTTTAAGTAAGCATTCTTAAAATACAGTCTCCATGTGGGCCACACAAATTTAAAATGCTTTGGTACTGAAACAGTTGGGATGTTATACTCAATGGATTTCCTTCAGAATCATGTCAGAGAGGAAGTTAGGGGCATCTTTCCAAGAAGCAAGACTGGCCAGAGCCTAATGAATGTGGGAAAAGGGGTTATAGTTCTAAGGTCATTATTATCATCAGGCATAATTTGTGCATTTTCCAAAACAATGTGCAGAATGTCTGCCATTTTAAAGCCTCCCTCAGGCCACTCAGATGCCACATTCTAGAATGCAGCTACTTTTCAGCACCTATACTACTGTCTTAATCCAAACCCCTGCTACGTCTCACCCACATTACTGCGATGGCCCCCTAACATCTCTACCTCTAACAGAGAGTCTTAGCAATGCCATTAGAACCAAGTACAATTCTTGGCTCACCATGCTTTACTTGCTCTTCACTCTACTCTGCCTGTGTCCTTGTTTTCGCTCTGGCAAGAATGCTCTTCCAGAATCAGCTCCATCATTCCACTCAGGCCTCTGCTTCAACACCTACAGGGCCCCTTCCTAACAGCCACACCCACATGATCCTCCTAGCACACAGCTGTACATGCGTGTAAACATAGCACTTCTATGTTTCTATTTGTACATCACGGATTTGCTCATTTGTTTATTTATTGCATATTGTGCTTGCTGCTTTTAGCCATTCAGGTCAATGGCATAGTATGTTATTATTGGTGATATATGTTGGTCAGAAAAGACCAGAGTAGGGTAGGGTCATATTCTTACATAGGAGGGGTTTTCTTAAGAGGATGAAGCCATTTATGGTTTAAAGCAGTCTTCTCCATAAGAGCCCACAGTGTGCAATTGATTCCCAGGTGAGACAGCTTGGCAGCTGAATGAGGACATAATGAAGTGGGCATACACATTTCTGGGGTGCTGGTGGGCAGAGTGACTGGGCTGTAGTGTCTCATTCACCAAAATCAAGTTCCACAGTTATCAACTTCCTAAACACTGAAAGCAGGAAATGAGAGTAAAAGGAGGAACTGTGTAACTATGATACAAGAAAAAGAGTGGGTGTCCAGAGGAGATGGTAGGATGGTTGACCTCCCTAAGGGGCTGTGGCCCTCTGCTGTCTCCTGTTAGGATGAGGTCAGCCTTTGGAAGGTGTCTGAGTGCTCAGCGGGCCCAGGTATCTGGTGTGATGAAGATGTCTGGGGGCTTGGTGGGCTCTGGTCTTTGCTGTGAACTGAGTGGAGATCTCCAGGTTGCACTAGACACTAGAAAGCTGGAGTCTCCCCTCACACTGTGTGGATCTTGCTCTTCTTGGCTTTGGTGCTCAGTACAGTGTAAGGGAAAAAGATCTACTGCCTTTGCAGCACATGGTCTGTATGGAACAGAGACCAGGGCATATCCTTGGAAAACAGTGGACAAACTAAGATGAGTCGAGCATCTCATCCTTCCACTGATAGTTTAGGGAAAGAACTAGTGGATGTGCTATCTCCTACCACTCAGTCTAGTTCAAGGGCAAATTTCTAACCCTGTGCCTTTAAACTTCCTGTGCCTTCAAGGATCTCTGCTGAACTCTGAGTAAAGGAAGTTCACTGAATAGGAGCCTGTTAATGTCTATGATACCTCAAATGCAGTCTGCGATAATTCCTCCAGCAGGTGGGTTCCAAGCTTTGCACTACTCATGCCTGGGTACCCACATACAGTGTGTCACTATATGCTTTCCCCTATTTGTGCCTGGGTACCCACAAATACTATGCCACTATATGCTTTGCTTCTGTTCTCATGCATGGTACAGGATTTGTGTCTGACATGCCCAAGGCAACTATACAATGGGGGCTCGTCTGGCATTCTGAGTGCTATGACCATCTACTACATCCCCGGACTCTGCTCTGCACTGATGCCAGTAGCTCAGGCAGCACTTGCATGAGCTTTGGGGTAAGACACAGCAGTTGTACAAGTTCATCTGGGTGTCCTCTCGGTAGCCTGGAAGGTACCAGGACTGACAGACACAGCCCTGGCTAGGCTCGCAGTCCGCTCGCATCCTTGTGGTTGGTGCATGGTGTACATAGTCTTTCCCCCCATGTGGCTGACTACCTGGCCCAGCAGTCCCCAGGGCTCTACCGTCTGTGCTCAGCTCAGACAGGACTGTCTTCCTGAGCTTGGCCTTGAGTTTTTCTCTTTACCCTTGTCTGCTTCGGCCTCCAGCTCACTCCCACTGTTTTCTAACAACGTTCTTATTTCACATTCAGGCCAGAGTGCATTGCTCTAGACTTCGCCATGAAGAGCTGAGAGTTGACTGCTACAGCAGTAGAGGTTCTTACAAGGTGGGACCCGAGAGGAGAATGTAGCAGGCAGAAGGTGATGCGAGGTCTGCCTTTACAGTCCTGGAAGGAAGGCGGCGCTGTTAGAGACAGATGCAGAGGAAAGGCCAGAGAAGAGAACGGCTTAGAACTGAGCTAGCCTAAGGGAAGGTCTGGAAGACAGGCTGAGATGTCACTCCGTTAGGTCAGTTTCCCTCATGGGGCAGAGGAGAATCACAACATTTGAGCCTGTCACAAAGCGTTCAATGTTAGTTCGTGAATGTCAATTCAATTTTTCAGGGATGGATAGTAGATGCGGTTTCTCCTAGATCCATCATATTTCCACTCCAGCCACTTAGTGATCCGGGGAGATGGCTGCTTTTAACAGGCAGTGTCTTCACAAACAAAACACACAATACAGCACAGAGCACAGAAGTAACTGATAGTGTGACCAGTCAGTCCGTACCACACACATGCATACACACATAGATGCATACGTGTCTAGAGACAACGAACACACAAAAGTGCTATGACAATTCCATGGATGGTTGTACCGGGTGCTGTAGCTTAAGGTCCCATTGCATCATACATTTGCCTAACCATATCTAAAATCAGTTTCTTTTCTTTCTGCCTCACGAAACAAGCTTCAATAGAAGTAAGTGTTCTGTGTTGCCTTTCTTCCTTACAATTTTCCATGAAGCATATTGGTAAAATTTGGAGAGTAAAGTTCATTTGCATTGGTGAATTGTTCACATGCAGTAAATGGGCTGGAGTCCCCTGATTGCATCACCTGTTCTTAAGCCTCTAATTGTCCTTTCCTGCGTGGTGTCCTCTTGTTCTACCCACTGGTCCAGCAGCAGTAATGGTCCCTATTTGAGACTTAGTCATGTTGCACAAAGTGCTGCTTGGCAACCCTAAAGTTACCCCCTTTCAGCAGGCTTGCCAAGGAGGCAGGGTGGTGGGAACAGTGGCCTACTTACTCGTGTTGATCTTCTGAAGTGAAATGTGCTTTTCCAGTTGTCTCCGCAGCTTCACCTCTGCCCCGTATTTGCCAGTGGTCCCGTTGTCCGCCAGGATGAAGTGAGAATGCATGCTGTTGAGAACAGTGAGCTTACTCATGGGATTGGACATGGTCTGATAGGGCCGCACAACCTGCAGGGGAGCAAAGAGAAGACATCAGAAAACAAGAGGTGAGAAGGAAAGCTAGACAGAGAGGAAAGCATGTCAACTGTGGTTCCTCTGTGTCCATGTGGCATTGGTTCCGGGATGCTGCTCCCAAGAATGGAAAATCCAAGTTCAGGTGTTGCGCAAAGCTACCCATTCTTGGATAGCTTATTAGTAATCTCCACATTACTTACAATAGTCACTGCACTCAAGATGTATTTTTTCATGGACTAATAGAAAGAATAGATGACTGTACATGCTTAGAAGTGTAAGGAATTTTTTCTTGAATATTTTGTTTTGGATAATTGAATATGTAAATACGGGATCTAAGAATACCAAGAGCTAGCAATACAATGTGCATCTTCTTTCTAGTATTGCTTTGGATAGAAGCAAGGTTTCTGGTAAATGATTGATTCGAAAGCAGACTATATATATAAAGGAATCTTGTTTGCATACTGAAATCAGAGACTTAAAATTCATGCTTTCATTGCGTTCTAAAGGTGGTATGCTAACAACCATTTCATTCTGAAGCTGATCATTTAGTTCTGTTTGTTCCTGTATTCTATGTCTGTCATTTCATTAGTAGTCACAGCAGAACAATCATGATCTACAGAGTGGGGGTTCTGGGGAGAAGCATAACCTTTTCCATCACTCCCATTCCATAATCTGAAATCTTATTACTGAAAATCAGCACTATTCTGATCAGACCCCTTAAGCGAACATGATATAAGTTGAACGTAAAATGACTGTCTCATGAGATGAACATGAGTAGACCAAAAACATTCATCTCAGTCTTAGCTTCTCTGGCAGCTGCTATTTTAACCTCATGGTGAGTTATACGACCCAAACTGGAGAAGCTGCAGTGTGTCTTCAGATATGTGGTACAAACAGAAAAGCCAAAGCTATTGTGATGGTTACGTACACATATTTATATCCCTTGCAGGTGGATGCTGTATGTATGTATGTATGTATGTATGTATGTATGTATGTATGCACAGTAGATGAGGAAGCAGGTGGGGAGGTGGACTTCCCAGGAGGGTATGGCACGAAGGCCCATGTTACCCCCAGGAGTGCTGAAGAGCTTCAGGTCTGAGCTGCACTTCTGACTGGGAGCAGGAAACACGGAACTCTTCCCCAGTCCCCGAACAGCTAGCACTGTGCTAACCCGTCAGGACTGAGTGACAGAGGTTTTATTTCTTGGCCTCTTGTGCAGTGTGTACATTAATTCTAGAGCTGAAATGCTCTTGTTTTTCTCCGTGAGAAGCTAGAATTACAATGTGATTTAGTAAAGGTGGCCTTCAATAGTGAAGATTTAGCTCTCACTCTTGATTCACACAACCACATGTCTATGTGCCTGGCAAACTAAATGTACTCAAATAGTGGATGGATGGATGGATAGGCAAGCGTGAGACAGACGGGCTTTTGTCCAAAACTGGACAAAATCCTCTTCTATGTCGAGTTGATTTAATGCAGATCTACAATGGGCATAAAACTCTGGCCTTTAGTGTGGTCTTCAGGTCTGTGATTCGGTGTGCCATTTTTAATGTAGCATTAATGTAACATGATTTCATAGCCTCACATAACTTCCCTTATTGATAAACCCCATAACACGCTGATTGCCTCTAATATTTCCCATGCATTAATCAATTACCCCTTGTCTGAGTGAGTCAATTAGTGTCCTCTGAAATCCAGAACGGTCATTGAAATTCGCGTTTTGTTGCATTTGTTTTTGATCATAAAACATTCATTGTAGGGCCTGGCAGCGTGGCCTAGCGGCTAAAGTCCTCGCCTTGAACGCGCCGCGATCCCATATGGGCACCGGTTCTAATCCCCGCAGCTCCACTTCCCCTCCAGCACACTGCTTGTAGCCTGGGAAAGCAGTCGAGGACAGCCCAAAGCCTTGGGACCCTGCACCCGTGTGGGATACGTGGAAGAGGTTCCTGGATCCTGGCTTCGGATCGGCATAGCATCTGCCATTGTGCTCACTTGGGGAGTGAATCATCGGACAGAAGCTCTTCCTCTCTGTCTCTCCTCCTCTCTGTGTATCTGACTTTCCAATAAATAAATAAATCTTAAAAAATTCATTGTATAGTTGAGTGCAAGTTAATACATGTTAATGTATTGTTGATAAAGATTTTACAGTAAGATTTTTTTTCTTAAAGTGTCTCTGAATTTTACTTATGGAGAAAAGAAAATATTTATTGTTTTTTTCTTTTCTAGCAACAGATACTGCAAGATTGCATGCAAACCCCGAGCCATTAGACAAGAGACGTCTACAGAGACCCAGTTTTCTGTGAGTGAAGCCCAGGCATTAGTACTAGCTCAAACATGAGACAATGTAAAAAATCCTTAGAATATGCCCGAATTCCATCAGTCAGAGTGATATTTCTAAGTGACTAAAGTAATGAAGATACTCTTGACGATGGGTGTCTAGCCTGGCAGTTCAAAGACAGTGCCACGTGTCATATCCCATCCCTAGTTTTCATCACTGCTTGGAGCTCCTGACTTCAGAGTCCAACTAACACAGAATCTGAGAGAGAGTGACGACAGCACCAGCAACTGGGTTACTGCCACTCACACAGTTCCTAGCTCCTGGCATGAGGTGAGTGAACTGGGGAGAGGGGAAGCGGGGTTGCAGGGACTCTGGATTCCTCACAACCCGCCTGTCTTCTCCAGCAGTTCTTCAGGACACAGGTGCGCCTCAGCTTTCTGACTTGAAAATTACTCAAAGGGCCGTTGGGAATACTATACAGCTCACCCGGTCGTGGGACAAAAGGGTCATTTATGACATCACACAGCATTTTGAATCTACGTTTCTTTTAATCTTTGTGAAAATATGGTTATGTTATTTACGCTCATGGAGATTTTGTTTACTGAATGACATATAAATGTAAAAGATAAGGCATTTTTCAATCATGCGAGGAGGAATATATACTGAATATTGAAGCAATCCTGAGCCTAAGAACCCTAGAACTCTGTGGAATGCTGGCTCAGCAATGGCTTTGGGAAGCTTAGGTCCTCTTTCAATTTGTAAAAGGGAAATGGTTAAAACGGATTAATTTACAGGCATTAGCAGATTAGGGGAGGGGAGCTCAGGAAAGTTCATGGAAGATTCCCATTCTCCAGAATCTGTCTGAAGTTTCCTTGTCTTGTATGGACCGTGCCCTAGGAGCAAGCCTGGCTCCTTGATGTTGCATACATGCGTATTTCTTCTCTATGTTCAATTAACCATCAATTAGTTGATTTTCCTATTGTGAGTCAATGATCAAAATGATATAATGAGACAAAATCAATGAAGACAAGTGTACTCTGTTGGCCAAATAGGTGAAGTGCTTACTGATTGATTTGGGTCACATTTTTGTAGGTGTTTAATAATAAAGAAATGGCTTGGAATTATTTGTTGATGAATTGCCAAGTTGCAAATAACTACTCAAACGCTTAAGAATACATTTGGTCTCACCTGCCTACAAAATCAATCGACTATTTTAATAAACACATCAGCAGTCTATTTTTGAGTTATAATTTGCACATCTAAAAGGCATTTGCGATTCTTTGTTATGCCTTCTGAGTATAAAAATGTCTTTTTATAACAAATACAAATGAATTTTTCTGACAGGATTTCTGGGATAATCTATAAAAAGAGGACAGCCAGTTGGAGGTATGTTTGTGCACTGAGTGAAAATGATTATGATACACCTCCAACTGGGGCTGTATTGGATGGCTGCATTATGTGTCCCAGCCTGACTTCCCTGCCGGAACTGTTGATGTCTAAGAGTACCCATTGTTGTCTCTCCTAGGAATTTAGGATGCTTCGGTTAGGGACCACCAATGCAAGAAATGAGGAGACATTCAGATAATTGTGTGTTTTTCTTATAATTACCCTTTGTTGGGAAAGGAGAAGTCTTCATTTTCAGGTGAGTTTTCATGACAGACTCACCCAGCTGTCTGCTAATGAGGGGAAACCTTAGAAATAAGCACTAGGTCCTCAGTGTGCTCTGAGCCTCATGGGCCACTGCTCAAGAGTAAATGAGTGACTGAACACTGCTTAGTACTGCCTCAGTGTTGGTAAAGCTTGAGGCTCAGACATACAGATGCTGAAAGCAGAAGGAAGCGAGGGTCTTGACAACGACCCTGACCAATGACTGCGCACTGATGCTGAAGCTTCCCTTGCCTCTAAATGGAATTTAAACCTTCTGTGTGTCCAAACTCTGTCTGTTCTTTTTAAGCTAATACAGAAGAGCTACCCTCCAGTCACAGCAACTACATGAAAAACGAAGCGACTTCATGCCTGCCTGTCATTCATGTACGGTAAGGACAGTTTGGTCCCTTGGGATTCCTTTAGCAGAGACTTGAAGTGGCTTGAGTCGTTACATGATGAGTCCGAGACCTCTGGGATCCCAGATGTATTGGACACAGCCCAGGCAAGCAGCAGGGTTGGGCACGTGTGGGCCAAGTGGTCATCTTTTTCCCTCCGGATGACATCAAGCTTTTAACTTAGGCTCAAAGAAGATGAGCATTCACTTCGCAGTGATCACATGCCAGGCACTGTGATACAAAATTTATAAAGCTGCTGGAAGCTTATTCTAAATCTGGAAAAACCATGGGGGCTCAGAGATGTGGTATCTTAGCCAACTTTGCCTCCACACACATCTTAAAATAGCTTTTTTGAGGGGGAGGGGAGGGGGACAGAGCGGGCAATATAGAGAATGGATTAGGGACAACAAAGTCTGTGGCTTCCCTTGTAATCCTAAACAGGCCGAAGCCCATTTGGATAAATGTAGCTGCAAGTGGAAGAGTAGAGCAAGGTCTGCAGGAGGTAGGTGCTGCCTCCCTGCGTACGAAACCTCAGACACCACAGATGCACCTGGCCAGTGTCACACGGCGCCCGGCTATCTTAGCCGTGTGACTGCCATTCACAGCCACAGGAGAAAGCATTTGAACTGGAGTCTCACAGCAGAAGGTCCTCACTTGCTGTTTACTGAAACAGCCCACATCACCTGTCTATGCTGAGGGTGCCATCCCTTGCTGGCAGTGGCACAAAGCACAAGTTCTGAGCAGCTTACTGTGGTGTTACATTCTTTGAATGTCTCCCCTTAGTCTAGTTGCAGCCGTCGACTCTCTTCCAATAGGAAGCAGGAAAAAGTGGCAGTGTGACTTACCACACCGGGCCAGGAAGATGGGAGCTGCTGCTATGTTGTGAAGGTGGAAGAAGTACTTATCCTGCAACCTGTAAGTCCTGGGAAGAGACTGAGCGATCCTCCTAGGCATCCTAACTCCTTAGAGACCTGAAGTGAGAGTGGTACATGAGCACCTGAACTGCTCATGCTGGCTGTTCAGACTGATAGGTGTTGAGGTCATGTTCTCATGCAGGTTTGTAGGCTGAGCTTCCCTGAGGTCTCATACTCAATCTGCTCTGGACTCAGGAGGCATCACAGCTCCATGACCTCTGTTCCCTTCTTGATGTATTAGCTGGCATTTGTTCCCTGTTCCACTGGGATCCTCCACACCCCCCTCCTGTTGGCAGGATTGATAGAAAAGTCATGGAGTCAGTTAAGCGATGGTACGGCCACCTGCACAACAGCCTGGTGTCCCAGGGAAGGATGCTGACCAGGCGTTTCAATAAAAAGGGAAAGAGGACAGCATCCATCCTCACTATGGGTTGTTTCACTCTGCACAGAGTTCAGCTGCACGCTGACCCTGGGTACCATTTCCATGAAAGGGTTATGTGAGAACCTCAGGATGAAAACTTCACAGATACTCTATTGGCAATGTTTTGTTTTTAAGATTTAGTTTTATTTGCAGTGGGAAATGACATGGACATGGAGCGGGGGGGAAGATTTCGGGTCCAATGTTCAAGTGGCTACAAAAGTCTGCACTGGAGGTGGAGGTGTTGCGAAGCTAAAGTGACAGGTAAGGAGCTGGGGGAGGGAGAAAGAAAGAAAGAAAGGAAGAAAGAAAGAAAGAAGGAAGGAAGGAAGGAAGGAAGAAAGAGAGAGAGAGAGAGAAAGAAAGAAAGAAAGAAAGAAAGAAAGAAAAGAAAGAAAAGAAAGAAAGAACTCTCCTCAGTGACTGCTACCAGTCAGAAAGAAAGACTTACTGTGTAGTTCCAGTTCACTCAGGCCTCTCCTCAGTGACTGCTACCAGTCAGAAAGACAGAACCAGAGAGAAAGACAGAACCAGACAGAACGAACCCGTCAGAAAGAAAGAAGCAGACAAAAAGACAGAAAGAAAGACTTACTGTGTAGTTCCAGTTCGCTCAGGCCTCTCCTCAGTGACTGCTACAATTCCAGTCACTTACCTATTCATCCTGTTTAGCCAGACTCGTGAGGTATCATAAACCCATAACCCATGAATAGCATATTTACTATTGGTAATTTTCCCCTGGATCTACAAGAAAGAGTACCACTACAGGCACCAAAGACTAAATTTCAACTGCCAAACAGAGCTCTGGGAGGCCAAGGACTCTGAGGTCACCCACCCCCGTTGGGAAGCCCAAATCCTTCCATGCAGGACCGAAGGTCATCAGAACAACAGCTACGAGCCCTGAGTAGTCCGTACTCACAGAAGCACAGCAAACTTCCTTCAGGACTCGGGAGAGGAGCTTTCTCTGGTCCATCCTCTGGCAATGACCATCAGGGTCATTCCAGAGCCCCTCCCCCAAAACAAACAAATACAATCAGAGTAGACAGAGAACAATACGGGAAATTTACAACCAGACAGCAGAATTTTGCTCAACACTATGCACTGCTAAATACTAAAATGAGGACAGACAGCTGAGTAGTACCCTATAGCCATTTTACAGTGACATTATAGCCAAAATGTCAATGAAAGTCACAGGATGAGGTTGAGAGCTGGCATCTTGTAATATATGGATTATTCAATACCATGACTATTAATACCACAGTGTTGTAAATTGATCTTGATGTTATGTTGGGGCTTTTTATTGATCAGGAGGATATGCTGCCACCTTTACCTCTAGACCAGAGATGATCTCCCCCAAAAAACCGTTGAATGTATCTGCACAATTACATGCTGCACTCTTTTATTACAGGCATATACCAAGCAAAGACTCTCAACTGAATTTGATTTGTGATAGTGCAACAAGGTGGAGGAATCCACCATGGGGGGAGGGTGTGAGGAGGGGTTGGGGGAATCCCAGAGCCTATGAAACTGTCACATAACACAATGTAATTAATAAATAATAATTTAAAAAAAGAATATTGTTATCACACCGGAACGCAAGAAATGTTATGTATATTAAGTCCTGAGAGAACAGCGTTCAGTCTCTCTGGATAAACAAATTTACTCAACACTTAAATCATGTGTTTTTCTGTGTATTCTACAAACCTGCTGTTGTCCGGCTCCCGTGGCCTCCTGCTGCCGACCTGGCTTTTGGGGACACAGAGCCCGCCTTTCCACATTACCAGCAACAGGGATGAAGGGTGCTCCCACTTGAACAGTACAAAGGCCTTGGCCCACTGGGTACAGGAGTGTCAGGAAATGTTTGTCATTGACATGACTTTACAAGGGACGGGAGGAAAAGGAGAAAGAAGAACAGTGGGAGGAGGGAGTGTCAGGACTGATGTTTCCACACCAGCAAGAGAACAAAACGTACGTAAGATTTACAAGTTGAACAAATAACAGGAATACAAAGTAGACCAGGCCTGCCTGCAGCTGCCTTGGGTCACTGTTTTGTCCCCACACGCAGAGTGACAACTCATGTTGCCATGAGAGATTCTGAAGCCATAAATTATACACATTATAATCCAGAAGTCATTTTGAAAATAAGTTTTTTTTGTGTTAATACATACTGTTGGTATTGGACACCTTCGTATACGCACATGTTTGAACAAACCTATTTGTTAGTTTACAGTTAGCAGAGATTGAATTGAGACCAGATATACTCCTGGGTGGCAAGTGCCAGGCAGGGGATCTTGCATCTGCAGTCACAATGCCATTTTGAAATATGAGCATTTTATAAACATAATAACAATTCATCCATTACCTTCTGTATTCTGGGTAAATTATTTCTGCCATGTTATGCGATAGCCCTGATATGGATACATTTAGTCATTTTCCCAAATGATTTGAGTCATTCCCTCCTAGGGGGAAGCCAAGTTCTCACTGTGCCCACATCACCCAAGGCTTTGGGAAACTGAGGCCGAGTAGAAGAACGGCGCAGAAGGCTGGCACTGTCTGTCCAGAGCTAGCCAAGGCACACCCTCAGAAGTGAAGCTGCAGGGACCCTCAGGTGCAGACAGTCAGCTCATGTGGCTGTATGTTACCTGCTTTACTCAGTAATAACAGAACCATACTAATACGCTTGCAGGATTTGTTAAGATGGGTAAAGACTTCAGCATTCAGCAGTAAGAATTCTCCTGGCTTTTCTAGATAGTTTTGAAACTCAGTCACCCAATAAACCATTCCTAGCATCACTTTCATGTTTCAGAGCTAGGGACTAAGAGTACCGTGCCATTCATTTTAAATATGGGGTGGGGTAGGGCAGGGCAGGCCAGCCCAGGACTTACATCTCTTCCAATCAGGTCCTCTTGGTTCTCCACAATTCCCCAGGGTGCGATTCCTATGGTGCAAATCTTCCCTCTCGACTTAGACGCATGGTCCTTCAAGGCATCTCCAACGTGCCGGATAACACCTGAGAGCAAGAACTACATTCAGCTTGTGTTAGAAGTATCCTAGCTTCCTGTGCAACTGGCTTAAACTGCACTGGACAGAGGCTACATACTCCATAGGCATACCTGTTCAAGTTCTGGCTGTGTCACCTCTGACTGCACCTGCAAACCACATGAAGATGGACCAAGTGCTTGGGTCTCTGCATCTTCAAAGCTTGGTCAGGCCTTAATTGATCCAGACATTGGAACAATGAATGAGCCAATAGAAGATCTCTTTCCCTAACTCTGCCTTTCAAATAATTATGTCCAATGCATTTAAAGATTTAATATTTTCACACATTTCTCTATAATCTACATGTATTAAGAAAACCCAAACCTGTAATCATCTTGCCACATCCATTTGCTATTGCATATTAACTCATTGTTTTCTTTTGCATTAATAAACCACCCAATGTCTAATAAAAAGAATAAAGTTATTTAACAAGGAATTGTTCTTCTGTTGTCAAGTTTTGAAAAGTATTAAACATTTTTTTTAATTTTTATTGGAAAGTCAGATTTACAGAGACAGAAAGATCTTCTGTCTGCTGGTTCATTTCCCAAATAACCGCAACGCCCAGAACTGAGCCAGGAGCTTCTTGTAAGTTTCCCATGTGGTACAGGGTCCCAAGGCTTTGGCTCACAAGCAAGAAACTGGAAGGGAAGGGAAGTGGAGTGAACTGGTGCCCATATGGGATCCTTGTAGATGTAAGGTAAGGATTTACCCACTAGATTATCATGCCAGGCCCAAAACTTACTTTTAAGGCAGAGTTGGAGAGAGGTATTACACACACCCATTCACTCCACAGATGGCTGCAGCAGCCAGGGCTCAGCCAGGCCAAAGTCTGAGACTCATGCAGTGTGTTCTGCATGGGTGGCAGGGACCCGCATCCTTACCCCTAGAGTGCAGGCTAGCAGGGAACTGGAACCACAGAAAAGCTAGGATTCGAACCAGGCAGCCTAACAGGCAATGCTGACATCCCTAGTGGCTTCTCAACCGCTCTGCCCAACACCTACCGGCAGAGTCCTTCGTATCAGCATCAGGATTTGTTAATGTGACTAGCACCACCTTGACGGCACACTTTAAACAACACAGCGTATGAGGCAGTCATTAAAACAATAATTTAGCCCAGACATTTTACTCTTGCTCTCATTTCCTATTTAAACATACTATGATGAACACATTCAAAAAGAAAACGATAGCTTACTTTGTGACATCAGTTGAATCTATAAATACATTTTAGCTTGATCATTTTGAATTTTTAACACAAAGATGAACAAAGCAAATATTCAGTTTATAAGTTACAGAATACACCTCCCAGCTTTTATAAGTCATTCTCTAATCCTTTAACCACCCATTCCTCAAGGAGACATTAAGTAGCACCATCTCCTATAGGAACACTGAGTGGGCTTTCCTTTACTCTCTAGTGTCACCTATTGCAGCTTCTCCATCTCCAATGGCTCTGTGTGGCCTATCGTCCCACGGACGGGTGTCTCCTCCAACAGCAGTATTCCTTAGGAGAATGGCTAGAAAAGCAGTGTCTTAAACAGCAGCTGGAGAGCACAGATTCTATACTGTGGACTACACACAAAACCCCCACCCAGAAATGACTCAGGAGATGGACCAGCCCTGGATTCATTCTTCGCACGTCCTTTCCACAGCAGTTCTATGAGAGAGCTCCATGTAGTCATGCAACATAAAGGTTATGAAATAAACTACATGGGTTTGATTTCATTCTAACATTTATCCTTTAATCCCAATTTTTCACTAACCTTCTGGTGTATCCTTGCTTTGGCATCAAAACATAAACACCAGTAACATTCCAGGTGCTTGGAAAAAGCATTGATTACAGGTTCCTTCGAATCTGTCGTGCTCTTGCAATGTGTCTCTGAATGACAGGAAAGCCATGGACTAAATCCAGGAAAGTGACACCTCCTTTCCCGAGAATAAAACTTGGAGCACACAGATATCCGATTACTAGAATACACAGCATAGCACTGACAAAGCAGATCCTTATAAGATATAGTCACTTTATAGACTGTGTCAGGCTTTTGCCTAAAAATGTTCAGCATGAGCAGTCTGAAGGTATTACTGATTCGATCTTTTGTGCTGAATATTCACATTCTAGAGATTTTTTGAGAGTTCTCTGTGCACTTCTCCCTTGAACATCACCTAGAGTGCAAAACAAATAAACACACCCAACCCTGAGGTGTGTGTTGCAATGCCACTTAGCCCATGGGGTCCCCGTGCCACACTAACTTCCCATAAGTCCACATGTACAGACTAAGCCTTGTGCACAGGATGCAGTAACTTTAGGCTACACTTGTGCACTTCTGAATCAAGCCATGGAGACAGGGCAGAAGCAGACAGACACGCGTCCCGTTATGGCTGCATGGAAACCACGTTCTGCAGACAAGCACTTAGCTTAAGTAGCAAATCATGCGACAGTATGCCTGGACAACCACCTAGTTCCGTTTGGCAGGCAGGCAGGCAGGCAGGCAGGCAGGCAGGCAGGCAGGCAGGCAGGCAAGCAATTTGGAATTCAGAGTGAGGTGAATATTCCATTGGTACAGGCATGATTTAATGAAACATTTTAAATAATAGATACATCTCATTTGATTTTGCCATCACAATTTATGTTCCAGATGGTAAAGGCATTTTACTAAAATGAAAGCTATTTGGAGTCCATCTTGAACCTGCTTAAAGGACAGAGGCAGAGCTTCTAATTTAAAGCAAAATTATTGCTTAAACAATTATGGATGTTTATATGGAAATTTCAGCTATCGAGAATACCCCCTGAGATTCCATTAGCCAACTTTATAAATTCAGTGCTGTCAACCGTTACATGTTCCAACCCACCGTTTTTCGGTCAGTAATTCTAGGCTGAGATTGAATTATACAGTAATGGGAGAGAATCAGTCACAGCTCAGAGTGGATGCGCCCGGGCAGGAAATAAGGAGGGGGTGTACTGGAGACCTCCAGAGAGAGGCCCCTCAGGCGCTGCGTGCGTGCGGCCTGCAGCCCCTGTCTGCCCCTTCCCAGTTACCTGTGTTCACGCCTCCGCTGAATATCCACGCCCCCGTCGTCATGGCGGCTTTGATGAGCCCCTTCCCGAAGACTTGCTTCAGCTTAGGCTGCAGCTCGAAGTTCTGCAGGCCCCCGTGGACCGAGATCAGAAGCTTGGGGAGCTCCAGTTGCCATTCCTTGGTCATCAGGTGTAGGAGGAGGTCGGGCTTCGTATCAAATGATACCCGCACGTACTAGGAGAGGAGAGCCCAGGAGTTAGGGAGACGGAAGAGCTGCCCAGCTGGTTCGCGCTGGTTACAACTTCATGTGCCAATGCTTGCTGACCGTGTCCCACAGTGTCAGATATTTTAAAAGGGGCGATCCTTTTCTTAACCCCTAACCCAAAGAGGCTTCATGAGCCCAAAGGGATGCACCCTTTTTGAAGCATTCTTGAAATTTCTACAAACTTGGAAATCACTGGATTTTCTAAAACGCAGCTTAAGCACAGTTCTTTGTACATAAGAAGTTATTTTTACATTCTATCACTATTTATATTTGGACAACTGTTACAATGTTTTTATTATTTTCACTGTAAGAAATCCCAATATAGCCACTGGATAAAAACACAATTGCTTCCCACACCCTATTATTTGGATTATCAGAGAATTCATAATTCTACACAAGGTCATTGGAATTTTAAGATAAGGCAGCATGGAATTACAGTTAGTTCAATCAGTAATAACTGCATGCCACTTTCTTCGCCTTCTGAAAAGACTAGTGACAAAGGGCATGCCGTGACTGCCAAACGGGAACGTATGGTAGATAAGCAGTGACTGGGTGCCGCTGGCAAGGACTCACATACATGTTCTACAGAAACACACAGTGATAAACATCTGTATAACCATATATACAGACACTCATTTCTGTCCAACTACACAGAACCTTCCGCTGCTGGCTGGGAACAAGTCAACTATCAGGCAACTACACATTGCCATTTGACACAGGTTGCTGAATTGCAGTGAGAAACGGAACATTCCCAAGCAAAGCAGAAAGTGCAGCTAGGGAAATCAGGTAGTAAGAAATGACTGGCGTCCTTGGTTTTCCTGTAAACCCTGCAAGATCCCAAGCATCTCATGTGATTGCTTTGTGGAAGCTTACTGGCAGTTCTTCTAACACAGCAGCTTTGAAAACAGTGAGGAAGCCTGCTACCTGGTCCTTGGCAATGGCAAATGGGGGAAATCCTACCAGGAGCATGTTCCACACGAGTTGAGGCTTACACTGGCTTCAGTCCACACTACACTACTACTGTCCTTTCAGAAATGCCAACTTGAAGACTCAGCATAGACACACAACCGGCTGAAGGGCGCCTCCAGGTAGAAGCCAGCTTAAATCCTTTGTGGAAGAATGCACGAGCAATACAGATGGGGAGAAGTATTTCAGAATAAAAACAGTCACAGATGCACAAGGAAGACATCCATCTCAGGGAGAGTCAACACAGAATCGGGCAGATGCCCAATGTCCCCAGGATAATACAATGAAAAGATACAGAGGAAGCTACATCTAAGGTGCTAAACATGAATGAAGTGATTGAAGAGGTAAGAAACCAACTCCAGGAAGCCACCACAGGCTTATGAAAAGACCAAAGAAGTCTCTGGAAATTAAAATGTAATAATTCGGGCCCGGCGCGGTGGCGCAAGCGGTTGAGGTCCTCGCCTTGCACGCCCGGGATCCCATATGGGCGCTGGTTCTAATCCCGGCGGCCCCGCTTCCCTTCCAGCTCCCTGCCTGTGGCCCGGGAAAGCAGTCGAGGACGGCCCAAAGCTTTGGGACCCTGCACCCGCGTGGGAGACCCGGAGGAGGCTCCTGGCTTCGGATCGGCGTGGTATCGGCCCGTTGCGCTCACTTGGGGAGTGAATCATCGGACGGAAGATCTTCCTCTCTGTCTCTCCTCTCTGTATATCCGCCTTTCCAATGAAAAAATAATAAAAATAAATCTTTAAAAAAAAAAAAAGTAATAATTCAAATGATGATGGATAAGCAGCAAGTGCAGAAGATAAACATAACACAACTGGCAGCTGACAACATGAAAGGGACCTGACCAAGGCAGGAGGAAATGATCAGGACCCAGGACGGACACGAAAGAGGACAGGAAACGGAAATGACTCAAGAGACTATCTCAGAATTATCCAAGAAATGAGTTCCCACAGCCAGAAGATTCATGGCTCCCAATTAAAACAGCTCACTCAGGCAGACCGCAGACAGAGGCCGGCCAGCTGCCCACAGAGGGGCAGCAGGGAACCAACGGCCTCTCCTCACCGCGCTAGCCGCGCGAAGCCAGGAGCTCTGGTGGCCCCAGGAGCAGTCTGTACGCGTTGAACATGTTTTTACAAAATGAGAGAAAGTGAGACATCTTCTGACTGCCGACACAGTTTTTATCTGATGTAGATCTCACTGCAGGGAGTGCTTCTGTGCATTTATAAATGTATCCACAAGTGTACACGTGTGTGTATACACTTCAAGCAGAGTAATATATACAATATGTATATCAATAAGAGTTCATAAATCTAATAAAACACTACTGGAAATATGAAATGATCCACTTTATACAGGATAGGATAGGAACGGATAGGATAGGATCGGATGGGATGAAAGCCCTGGGCAGCAGAGCGTGGGACACACAGCCTGCTGACGGTCAATTCCAGCTTCCTGTAGTATCTTAACACCTGAAATTGTAGGCTAGGGGCAATGAGAAAGGTTTCAAGCTTTGAGTTGATTCAGCGTTCATGCTCTGGCAGCATCTCCTCTAATCAGAAAACGTGTGCACGTAACACAAGTCAGGCAATCAATCCAACAGAGGATAATCTATTGCTGTATTTTTGGCACTGGGAAATCACACGGATCCAGAACCTCTATGTTTTTAGAAATAGAAGCTTCAGATCCACTTAGCGGAAACAGAAAACAAAGGGACATAGTACTATCGTAGTTCGCTGCATCTCAAGGAATTCTGAGGAGCTAAAAGTGCTATATGCATGCACCGGAAGTGCAGTGCTGGACTCTCAGATACCTCAATATTGATTTGACTACCTATAAAAATGATTCCAGAAGGGGAACAGTAGATATTGGCAAAGTTCGCTCTGCATATGATCAAACATTTGCCTTTGCACTCTGAAACAATATGGCGTGCTTCATGTAGACCCATTCCAGCAGAAGACAAGATTTTTTCCAACATGGGTTAAGAGAAATTTGCAGCGCCATGTGCCTTAACTGCTCCACATGCAGCCTCAGAGGTAGGAAGTAGCTTAATGCGACTGGGTTTGGAACTGGTGCCCATATGGGATCCAGGTGCGTGCAAGGTGAGGACTTTAGCTGCTAGGCTACTGCACCAGGCCCCACAGAATCTATTTTAACAGTAGTTTTAATGCCTTGCTCTCAAGCCGGTGGTGGGAAATTTCTCTATTTTCCTGTCTAGAAATGTGAAAAACATCATTTCCAGTTTTAATTCCTTGTAGTCCCACTTTAAATGGGCGCTTGTCATTACAACTGTGTCCAAGCAGAACATGCTGCATTTAACTGCTGAGATACTTTTGCTGGTAGCAAGTCTGTCAAGCCTTTTGCTTGGCACTGAAAGTTCAATGCCTTTGATGGTTTAAGAGATACCAAATCTCCCTGGAAACAAAATATTTGAAGTTGTAATCACTGTTATTTAATTTCTAGTTTGGTGACCCATTTATTCCATATTGCTTTCACAACTGCCCAGAGTCAGATACCAACTATTGCGGGGAAGAAATGCGGAGTCTTAGAGGAAGATGAGAAATAAGGAAGAGTTCACCCGACACACGGGCAGGTGCGGGAGCACGCCAGGGGTCTGCGGGTTCACCCGACACACGGGCAGGTGCGGGAGCACGCCAGGGGTCTGCGGGTTCACCTGACACACTGGCAGGTGTGAGAGCATGCCAGGGGTCTGCGGGTTCACCTGACACACGGGCAGGTGCGGGAGCATGCCAGGGGTCTGCGGGTTCACCTGACACGCGGGCAGATGCGGGAGCATGCCAGGGGTCTGCGGGTTCACCTGACACACGGGCAGGTGCGAGAGCATGCCAGGGGTCTGCGGGTTCACCTGACACACTGGCAGGTGTGAGAGCATGCCAGGGGTCTGCGGGTTCACCTGACACACGGGCAGGCACGGGAACACGCCAGGGGTCTGCGGGTTCACCTGACACGCGGGCAGATGCGGGAGCATGCCAGGGGTCTGCGGGTTCACCTGACACACGGGCAGGTGCGGAAGCACGCCAGGGGTCTGCGGGTTCACCTGACACACGGACAGGTGCGAGAGCACGCCAGGGGTCTGCGGGTTCACCTGACACACGGGCAGGCACGGGAACACGCCAGGGGTCTGCGGGTTCACCTGACACACGGACAGGTGCGGGAGCACGCCAGGGGTCTGCGGGTTCACCTGACACACGGACAGGTGCGAGAGCACGCCAGGGGTCTGCAGCCGGAATTCTCTAGCCTACATTTTTCTTTTTTTCCGTTTTTTTTTTTTTTGATTTGCAAATTTCATTGCCCTTTATTTTGTTTGTTTGTTTTTTATTGACAATCCTTACATAGTTAATTGGGTAAAAAGGTTCAAGGGCTACAGGGAAGTAGCTAAGATTATTGTTTCCATATTGTTTCCTTCACGTATCTGAGGTAAAGGGGGACATTTACATTTTCCTTGAGGCGAGGAGATGGGCTGTTCCCTTACAGGACAGCAGATCCTGTACGATTAGCATCCGAGGGAACACAGGCGTTGAATTCCACATTCTCAATGTCACAAAGGCCGCGGGACACGCCTGTGAAGTCACGGGAGACCTCCCAAGGACACAGTGAATATGGCCTGGTGACTCTGCTTTTTCTACTTCTGCCCATAGCTCCGACGCCGTGCAATGCCTAAACAGCAGAAAGGTAAGGCTGGAACTCCCTGAAGGGCAAGCAGGGAGGGAGCAGGGACAAGGGGGCGGAGGGGTACCTGGAGTTACAACACAGTATCCTGGAGAACCACAGCAAATCAAAAGTGAGTTCTTGTAAGGACTGAGAAGGAAGGAAGGAGGAGGGTTGGTGGGAAAGGCAGGGGACAGGGTAAGGCTGAGGCGTCCCTCGATTGCTAAGCCTGAAAGGCATGGCACAGTTCACTTTGTACAAGTAAAGCAAGTTCTACAGACATGTAGTCCATTGCTTCGTCTTTTGTGTGAAGACTCTTGATAATGTGATTCTAGTGGTAAGCCTTGGCTTAGCGGGTAAGCTGCAGCATGGGGTAAATCCACGCCATAGTGGAGTACTGCCTTAGGGTCTGGACCTCCACCCCATGCTGGATGCCCAATTCCAGCTTCCTGCTTTGCGAACCCTGAGATTCAGTAAATGATAGAGCAAATAACGGGGTCCCTGCCATTCACTTTTGTCAGAGTCTGATGGGGTTCCCAGCTGCAGCAAGCCTTTCAGCTATAAACTACCAGACGGAATATCTCCGTGTCTTGTCTCTGTCTTTCAAATACACAAATACAAATTTAGAAACAACCATTTTTCCTTGACTGTGTCTTTGGTAATTCCGTTGTTTCAGAGGGGTCAGACTCTCAAAACTGGCACACTGTCCCTGGTCTTACTTGCCTGCTGTCTCTCCATGATGAAGACAGCCAAGACTTGAGAGCCCAACTCCAGGCGAACCACACGCCCTGCCACATTTCAGGACAGAGAAATGGCCGCCTCTCCTCGGGCTGGCACCTCGAGGTGTGCTCCACAATCTGACTTCTGCTGAAGTTCAACAGACACCAGTGACCGGTGGACTCGGGCAGCCAGAGCTCCCGCTGCAAAGACCCACGGCACATCTCTGCACTCTCGGGAGGAGAAGCAGGCTCATCACTGCCCCGCCACTGATTTCAATAAGGAATTATGATTTCCACAAAGATCTCTAACTTAATGCTAGATTCTTCTTTATTATTTTTTCCCTCCCTTACAAACATCAAGTAAGACAACCCTATCTACTTCAAAGTCACAGATTACAAAACTTCAGGCTCAGCTAAGTTAATGGTTTCACCAAGATTTTACAGTTAGATCATGAGCAAGGCTTAGGTTTCATGCTGACTGCAAGGTCAGACATTCTGATTTCCATCCACTGGAAAAGTTTATCTCATAGCTACAGCAAGCGAGACCTCACTGCAGGACGAGTAACAATAGCAAACACAGTCTCGCTCTGACAACAGGCACTTGAATTACTTAAAACTGAAGGGTCGCGTAAGGTCGAGTTACCATGTTTATTTCATTGCACGCGGGCGCACACACACACACATACATCACTGAGATGCATGCACTGTGTTTCCACAGCATGCATGTTTCATGAGCTTTCTGCAGGGCCTTCATATCAATTCACTCCTTCAGTCAGTCCCTGTGAACTAGGAATTGCTGGGTCCAGCTGACAGATGAGGACACCGAGGCAGAGGACATAGGTATACCGGACTAAGACATACACTGACTCAGTAATGAGAGAGCAGGGGTATTAACAGACTGCAATGCGACTTTAGATTCGCCTGTCAGTCAGTGGGCTATGAAGTCAGAACTTCTGGAATTATCCAAATACGCTAATGGGAAAAAGTATAATCTGGCTTTCTGCAAAATTCTACTAAGACACAATTCAGAGCATCCTTCCAATGTTAGCCAAAATGCTTTTATAATTTCTTTCAGAGCCTAAAGCAAATAACAACACGGTGACAGATTAATACCCATTATCTGAAATGTTTTGGACTGGAGGGGGTGCAGATCTCCAGCGGCCCTGGATATTGGAATATTCACATACACATAATAAAGTATTCCAGGCTCCCGTGCCTGCCAGCGGCCCGTCCAGACACTTGTGCCATTTCATGAGACAGGCTTGTGTTGAGCAAGATACAACTCAGTGGAAAACTGTGGGCAGGCCTTTCTCCCCTGGGACACAGCGGGAGCTGTGCGCTGCGTCCTTGCATTCTGATTACGACCTGCCAAGGAGGTCAGGTGTGGAATTTTCCACTTAGTGCATCCCATCAACTCCAAAATGCTCTAGCTTTGGGAACATATTAGACTTGAGGTTTTTCAAGTTAGGAATACTCAGCCTAGGCAGTATGGCTGTTTCTTCTCTACTATGTGCTCGGCACTGTCAGATGTGTGCCATAGGTCACTGCATTCACTTCTGACGACAGGAGTGTTAAAAGTTTATGCAACAGAGTAAGTCACTGGGGCCTAGAAGTGTGAGCCAGGCTCTTCAGATAACACAGAAGCTCTAGGATTTCTGGGCTCAACTCAAACTGAACCCAGAACCCATAGTCTTTCCTGTTCAACAAATACTCCTCATCCTAAGATGTTTTCAACAACAGATATCTTCATCTTCTGAAAGAAACACTGAGCTTGTGAAACACTGGCCAAGTGGCTTAAGTTTTATAAACTTCAGAGATTGTCGAAACTACCATTTGATGAAAATACAGATCATTTTTATAATCTGTAAACTGCTGAAATCAATCCTCTGAAAACGAATTAACGCACATTTAGGCAATGATTGATCATGCTAACTAGAGTTTCTGAAGGTGATGACTCTTCAGGGAGTCTCCATATTGGATGGAATGTCTAAAATGGAAACAATGAGTGATGCCCACTGTGGAGCTTGTGGGCTCCTGGCATATTGCTCGACCGTGCCTTTCCAGCACCCTGGGGTGGTCCTGAATGAACCACTCAGTAATGACTATTATCGTGGGAGCCACTTTCAATTTGGTAGCATTCTTTCCTGAGTTGAACTTGTATGACTTTTAATTCATAGCTCTGAAAAACCTGCATTACACGAGGCTGTTCCAAAAAGCTCATGGAAAAATGTGTCTCATGAAAGAATGATGCATGGGGCCCGGCGCGGTGGCGCAAGTGGTTAAAGGTCCTCACCTTGCCGCCCGGGATCCCATATGGGCGCCGGTTCTAATCCCGGCAGCCCCGCTTCCCTTCCAGCTCCCTGCCTGTGGCCTGGGAAAGCAGCAGAGGACGGCCCAAAGCTTTGGGAACCTGCACCCGCGTGGGAGACCCGGAAGAGGCTCCTGGCTTCGGATCGGCATAGTATCGGCTCGTTGCGCTCACTTGGGGAGTGAATCATCGGACGGAAGATCTTCCTCTCTGTCTCTCCTCTCTGTATATCTGCCTTTCCAATGAAAAAATAATAAAAATAAATCTTTAAAAAAGAATGATGCATGGATTTCAAGACCTTTTGCATTAAAGTAAACTCCAGTTCAACTCTATTTTCCAGGAACTTTCTGAAGTGCCCTCATTCGTGCTTCAGTGACTGCACCTCATTCACAAGACCACGGACAGGAGCTAAACTAAGCTGGGGACATTTAGTCATCTTGTATGGACCAACACTTCCCTTAAGTGGGGTGAGGAAGTTAACCATTCTGCTTAGTTTGGTGTAGGAAAGACTAATAAACTCGTTCTTCATAATCCCAAGTCTCACTGGAGGGGTTGCTAACTGCATCCTTATTTTCCCAAGATGAGTTCCAACTTGGTGTAACGTAATAAATAGCTCAAGACAGAAGGTCTGAAAAAAAGACTAGGAACAGTTGGCTATTCTTGATAAAGAACCTGCTCGTGTGTGTGTGTGTGTGTGTGTGTGTGTGTGTGTGTGTGTGTATACGTGTGTTTGCAGTGGAGGTACAGGGGGAGGGGACATAGAAGCAAGTAAAGAAAAGAAAAACAACAGGAGTGAGGGAGCTTTGTTACACGTTTAGGCTGGGAGTCCACTTGCATTTGGCCGTGTGCTTCTCTAAGCGAACTTCCACTCAGACCTCAGGAGATTCCATAACACGCCTGAGACCAGCCACGTCCAAGAGCCCCAACCTCGGTTAGCCGTCCTTTAACAGTGAGGAGCAGCCTTGTGGGGCTCTAACAGCCTCTCCAGAATTTCAGAATCACATTCTATACTTTTGTTCCCCAAAGCTCTCTCAGCCCAGAAGGAAGTGGTCTGTGAGGAAAGGTAAGACTTAGGATTGGCAACCCAAAGTTTCGCACATTCCAGAGCCTCTCGTGCCCCACGGGCGCTGCTCCTACAGAATCCTCCTGCTGAGGCTGCACTGACACGGCTGACGCCGGCAGAACATTCCGTCTGGACACAAGCTCTCTATCGGACGGGGAAGCAAAGAGTGTGATGGCGAGCTACACAGAACAACGCAAACAAGAGGCGGAGTATATGGATTAAGAAAGACATCTTAGCAGTAAGATTCACAAACTAGTATAATAAATATTAGCTGATGAAGCTATTTTGTCAGTATGATTTCAGTGACTACAACCCTACGGTAGTGTTTTCATCCTATCTTTACATAGGAAGAAGTGAAACACATTAGAGCCAGATACTGAGAATAAGTGAACTGTTAGGAGGTGGCCAAGTCACAATTACACCCCAAATCTAAATCCCATGCTCTTAACCCATCTGTTGTTGACACACAGTAGCTGTAGCATGGATTGAACAGCTTTCTGATTACCATGGCTTTGTTGGAGTGGCCGCCACCTTGGAACTCAATGGTGCCAAAGGCATCCGTGGGGCTGAGCTGCGTGTGCTTGCCGATGGACCACTTCTCGGACTGGATGTCATTTCGGGAGAGGCGGCTCTCGTTCTTCTCGTTCTGGAGCACAGAGATGCTGGGAGTGAGGCCAACATGTTGGCCGATCAGACGTCCACAGCAACACCTGGGACACACAGGGGAAGCATCAACTCCCGGTATCAGCCAGTACTGATCGACACACTAAAGGCTAGAAAATCGTGCAGTCCACATCTCCCCACTCATCGCTTAGCTACAAAGCCTTTAAGGGGTGATGTCCAGGCTTTGAGTGACACACTTAACCTCCCGTACTCCCTCCATTCTTTTTGCAGCTCCGCACGCTGTATTCTTCCCTTTCCTCCAGCCCTCTCACACGTGGCCTATATTCAAGCTACAACACCAGCAAACCAGAGCATTTTCACAAAATGTTTGCATGAGAAAACCAGTAAAAATATATATATACACACACATATCCTGTGGTAGCACATACGAATGATTCCAAGCATAGGGTTACAGCTTCTCCTTCCTCAGCTCGCACACGAGCAATTACCTACAGCAAGGCGTATAATGCTGTGCATGCGTGATTGTCTAAATGAATAACATAAATATGCCTCGTTTCTATCTGTTTCCCCTGAAACAAGTAGTGATCATTATTGCAGGCTGTTTCCATAATTACTGCTTTGCACTCTCAATATATTGGAGGCATTGGCTTACCTATGGGGGTCTTTGGTGCTGGGTATTATATGAACACATTCTCTCTTGTAAAATGCTCTTTCTATCCAGGATTTCTGGGCCTGAAAAAGAGAAAACCGAAAAGGTGAACCTAACTTTTAAATACGGTAGCCTAATTATTACAAACAGAATTGAAAATGTGGTCATCAGCACAAACACTGAGATAACCAAATCAATTACTTCTAGAACGTGCTGTTGAGATGATGAGCTAAAGGAACAGTTGTAACTTTGTCTGAACTACATACAAATTCACAGTAATTTTTGAATCACAGTAAGTCAATACAATTTGTAGATAATATCAAGGTGGAAGGACAAAATCGTGCAACAGGCAGAACACGAGTCCTCAGTGGTGGTGAGAAACGCAACTGCATGATTACAAGATTTCCACAACAAGCATTTCCGTTTGTTTGTTGTTTTTAATTTTCCTGTAGAAGGTGGGGTGGCAGGATGGCAGACGAACCATGTAACTGTGAGCTCTCATTCATCATGATACCTTTTCTAAAATCCCAAACCTGCTTAAGTGCAGAGGGAGGAAGAGGAAGCGAAAACACAGGAAGAAAAATGCCTATTGCAGTCCAGCATCTCCCAGGACAGAAGACGGCTCCTTTTCTGTTTTCTGTGCTGGCCTCCCACGTGTCCTCAGCCGTGGCAAACTCAGGTTTTCAGAAAGGACATCACTGGGGCTCTCCTCCCAGGAGTCCTGCCCTGAGATTGGGTTCAGAGGTTCCAGCCAACAGCAGGATCTGTGTGCCAAAGCGGGGCACCCATCAGGCCCCTTCACTCCTTTCACTACCAGTATCTGATGAGTCCCACACACAACGCAAGTAGCTGCTCAGCAGGTTGCTTCTGCAAGCATTTCAGAGAGAAGCTGCTAGAGCAACCTGTGACGGCATTTCCATGCCAGCTTTGCTCTAGTCCAGCACAGAAACCAAATGCTTACTCTTTTTAAAAAAGATTGATTTTTATTGGAAAGGCAGATTTACAGAGAGGACAGAGAAATATCTTCCATCCTCTGGTTCACTATCCAGAGGCTATAACCGTAGGAACTGAGCTGATCAGAAGCCAGCAGCCAGAGTTTCTTGTGGGTCTACTATGTGGGAGCTGCATCCAAAGAACATGGCCACCCTCCTTGCTTTCACAGGCCACAAGTAGGGAGCTGGATGGAAGCAGAGCAGCCGGGATGCAAACCAGCGTTCCTAGGGAATGCTGACGCCTGAAGATGGAGGATGATCCAGATGAGCCATAGTGCTGATCTCCGAATTCTTACTCTTAGAACATAATGGATTAAACCGCCACTGAGCCTACTTGGCCTGTCCCTCTGCCACCTATTAGTGGGCAGGAACTGCCCTTGACTGCCAACTACTCATGCGTTTACCAAGCCTGGGTTCATTTCTGCCCTCAGTGTCTTCATGTCTTAGCCATGCCCCCTCGCCCACAATGGAGGCCTATTCCCCTGTGTGGGACTGAAGACAGGAGTTTCCCACGATAACGATGCATGTTTTACAAGGAGCAATATGGGGGATGGCTGAGGGGCATGGTGGACTCAGCCTGATTCAGTCACGCTCACCATCTGCTCCAAGTTTCTGGGTGTCCCTGAGTTTCCCACCAGAAGAAGCACCCCACACCACAAAGATCCAGGGGGTGCACACGTGACAAAAAGAACTGAAGTAGTTCTCTTTGCCAGAAGGGTGTGAACAAAGTCCTGGCATCAAGTTTCCCAAGACACGCTTTCTCAAACATGGAGAAAAAGTTCCATCTTTGCAACAAAAATGAGCTTAGTGTCATAGATAACCCATGTTTATCTTTGTAGACAGCCTGTACGTTAAACTCTTCACAGGCCCTGATTTTCCCCAGACTGAATTCCTTCACTGATTCCATCTCTTGGCACCAACACAGGCAAATGTTCTTTCCTGGGTATTCGAAACCAACTCTCTCCACATCTTGGGGAGAAGGTTCTTTCCTTTCTTTCACAGCCCACTTTGGCCAAGCCTTGGGGGAATATCCGGGGAATTTCAGGGGGTGTGGAGCCACTGTCCCTGAGAGCAGCTGGCAAAGCAAAGTCACTGCTTGTACATCAGGTGTGCAGCTACAGTATGACGGGCACTGCAGCATGGGGCAGGCACACATTTCTGATCCTCAATTTTCCTCTTCTATTCAGAGGATACGGTGGGAATACCCGACACACATCATCTTTATCTTTTGTGTACCACACTTTCACTTGAAAAACAGGTGCCCGCCCTGGTTGACTACGGCACTTTAGGTTTAGATGACAAGTTCTGAGGGCATCCACAGGAACAGAGGGCACCTCTGCACTCATTCCCTTTTGTGCTGGGATGACAGGTGCCCAGGACGTCTGGATGATCATGGACAGGGTTCCTTCACCTCGCGGAGCTACTTCTAGAACACATGCAGCATCACAGCCACCTGGGATAAGTTGACCACCAAAGCGGGTCATTCACACGGAGCAGCACAGCTTTGAACATCGGCCAACGCTGACTGAAGCCCCTCTGTGTGTTCACCACTGTGACTTTCATGTGTGAAACGCATGGCTCCTCTTAAGAATTCTCACCAAAAAAGTACTCCTACTATATCCACTTGCCAGAGAAGAAATGAAAGCAGAGAGATGTGGTAAAAGTTAGAACGCCCAGGCCTGACCTGAATTCATATTCCGACCCTCTCTGCTAACCTGAGTCTACGAGTGAGTGATGACTGAAGAAAAGCAGAGCCGTATCCAAGAGCACTCACATTTAGCAAGTGCTACACTCTCAGATTTGCACTTTCTGCTTTCTCATCTCTTTCTTGCAGTTCTCACAGAGGGAGTAACAAACAGTATTACTTTTTCTTACAAGGGTGGGGTGGCACAATCAGATGGAAGACATCAGCATATAGCATGGATGTGACAAAGGGGAGACATGGCCAAATATCACAGGTACAGGACAGAAATGCATCAGACTCAGCTATAGTATCCAAGGGGCCATGGGTCACAGATGACACTTTGCAAGGACACTGTCATTCTTTCTTTTGCTCATGGATCCCAGCTTTAACCTGGAAGGCCATGAAGAATTCTATAGGCTTACAGACAACCAGCTGCTCTGTTAACCTTTAAGTAAGAGCCCTTTGCCTTGCGACTGCCATAGCATCTCAATGACCTTCTGAAAGGCGAGGACTCACCTCACTGTCAGAGGTTTGCGGATCAGTTTCTGTGTCTTGGGATTAGGCAGTGCACCACTGGCCTTGCCAAGACCATTCAGAGAGGAAACAAAGGGGAAAGGTAAGACATCTTCCCACCACGGGTAATTGAATTAGATTCTCTCAGAAAAAAAGTGTAATGTGGAACAGAAAGAATGCATGGAAGACTTCCACTGCAAGCCACCAAGCACTCTGTGGACTTCGGTTCTTAGTGTGTGTTATATTCATGTCTATGGTGTGGCAGATACTAAATCTTCCAATTTTTTTCCTTCGAGAGGGCACATTTGATGTATAATCATGGCTTAGCTGGTTCCCTAAACTAATCCCCTCTTCTTTTGTCCAAAGGCTTTGAACTCTGCGTGAAGCTTTCTACTTTACTTTGCCATCCAACTCAGCCCGGGCAGGTTATCCTCCCTATTTGAACACATGGAGGAGTTCTGGCACACCATGTTTCTAGCTGATCTTTCAATTATTCTCTAAGGCAAAATGTCAACAGACAGTTGTGTCCAAAAATCTCTTCTTTTAAAACATGCCTCAAAAGCCTCGTGTGCTTTTGCAAAAGACGGCTTCTCCTGGAACTCAGAAAACCACTTTCATACATTCTTTCCTGAAGCTGGAATGGGCACAGAACCATGGGAAGGGCTATTTTCTTTCTTGTCTTTCTGCATTATCAGTCATGTGTGAGATGTAACAGGGAAATGTTCTTCAAAGGCTAATAATTAAAGCACATCTGACTCAAAACAAAATTGAGGACAGTCACATTTTAGACACAGTGTAATGATTATCCTGGAAGGCTAGAGTACTCATTTCCAAAGTTAAATCAACAGACAACAAAGCACTCAAATGAGAGACACAACAACAAAAATAAACAGATTTTGCCTTCAAAAATTAAACCATTTAAGTATCCATTCTTTTCCACAAAGCTTCTGATAACAACACTGTCTCCATTTTACCCTGAATCTTCTCTCTGAGATCCCCCTATCAACTGCAGAACCTGGAATGTCTCCGGGTACTAGCTTGCTGGTACATATTCCCAAGTGTATTAAAATCCCACTCCATACCAAGAAGCCTTGGAAAGTGCCACTGTGGCTATCCACTCTTCCAGAACTGCTCAACAGAGAAACAACCCAGGTTAGTAACCATCCGACTGGACAAAGAGTCCTCTAACTTCATAGGAACAAGTGACCAGGAAAATGTCACCAGGCCTCTCACTGCCACACTCTCCCATCTCATAGCCAAGCTACAAAGATCATGCAGGCACAGCTCATCTTTGTCTTCTGCTCTCCCTCTCTGCGTCTCTGGCTTCTCTTCGTCTTCTTAGGTCCCCAGAACAAACACTGAGCAGTTGAAGAGAAGTTAACTGCAATCATTTACCTGTGTGAGGACTCCGGGCAGTGGCAAAGGCAGTCCCAGGGGCAGAGCCTGCTGGTTTCATTTTGCCGTGGCTGGGGCTGGTCATGCCGTTAATAATGCTCTGATGACCGCCCACTGGAAAAAAAAAATCACTTGCCCAGCTCTTCCCCCTAGAGACGTTTCAAGTAAGCAATGAACTTGGGCAGATTAGCCCCTTGGAATGTACCAAAGCTGTGGGATTAGCTTCACTAAGAATCCCATGCACATTCCCTCACAGCCTCAAACACTGCTTGATTTGAACATTTAATCTGACGCCAAAAGCAAAAGAGATCCCTCGAGATCGGATTTACCTGGCACAAGTCCTAACAGGCTCTCTAGCCCCACCCCCAGCCCCTCTTTCTTTTTTTCACTTTCACAGAGTAAAATGTGATAAGGTGTTCTGGAAGTTCAACTTTGAAAGCAAATCCTTCCAAAGAAACAGTGCACGGAGGCTCCCAGCGGCTGGCACACAAGCGGCATT